TTTTTTGTTGTTATATACCTGGATGACTGAGAAAACAAACTTTGTGTGTCTGCAGAGTGCTTTCTTTAAATTCTACATCCCATTAGAATCCTCCAAAAATGTAAATGCCTTGAAAAGAAAACAACTCTTCTTGGGTTCATGCCTGACCTATAAGTGCGCGTACAGGGTTGTTGTTCCTCCACAGGTCAGATATTTGTCCTCTCAGCAGATTTTGGCTCTCCTGAGGCAGTCCTCCTCCTTGGGCACCCAGAGCTTCTGTCACCTGCTGCTGCACCGTCCCACCAAGCTCCAACAGGGCCCTCTTCAGGTCAGCTTCCCTGGAGCACCAGAAACTAGAGTTCAAACTTTCACCAGCGGACGAACGGCGCCGTCAAAATTTATTTGATCCCGTACAGATTTCTTCTGTTTTGAATTTTTAAAAAATGTTTCATCACATCAAACATGTTAATTTCAACATGTTTGATGAAAGACGATGAAAAAGATGCATTTCACAAAGACAACTTGAGCACATTCAAAATGCCAGTTTTCAAATTAATACATTTTTTAATTAAATGGAAATTACTTTCCAAAGCAACCTGGCCCTATGAGAAAAAGTAAATTTCCCTTTTGGTAAATCATGAATTGTGATTTTTTTTTTTTTAATTAAGTTCAAATATACTCTCTAATGTACTTCTAGATCAGTAGAATCATGAAATCACTTAAATCGAGCCATTAACTATGAATGCAGAAAACATGGAAGAGTGGACTAAAGTTACTTAAAGAGATTGTTGACAACCCATCCAGGAGGTCTTCCCCCCACCCCCACCCCCACCCCCCCCAACCAAAACAAAATACATCTTAAAGCCTGCAGGCCATACTTGTCTTGGCCAGTGTTCATGATTTAACAATAAGGAAGAGAAAGAACAAAATGGCCTCTATAAGAGAGTGAAAGGCCACAACTACTGCAGTGCACAAAGTCCTGCCTCACATTTTAAACACTACAAAGACTTCAGAGAAAATATTCAGTGGACTAGAGACGGAAGTGGAACCTTTTAAAAAGTGTGCGTCCCATCACGTCTCCCATTACATCCTGCATTTCAGAAAAAGAGCTTCATACCGACAGTCGAACATGGAGGTGGTAGTGTGATGGTCTGGGGCCACTTTATTGTTTCAGGACCTGGACGACCTGCCATGACTGACAGAACCATAAATTCTGCTCTCTGCCAAAAACTCATGAAGAAGAATGTCTGGTCCTCAGTTTACAACCTTAAATTCAGGCTCACTAGCAGAACAACAAGCCGAAGCCCAGCAGCAACGTATATCCGCAGCTGCGTGAAAGACTCATTGTCGGTTATAACAAACGCTTTACTGCAGTTTTTGACGCAGAGTGTGGCACGACCAGTCATTAGGTTCAGGAGCAATTACTTTTTCACACAGGGCCCAGACTGGTTTGAGTAGTGCGTTTTTTTTTTAAAGCATCATTTAAAAGCTGCAGTTTGTGTTTATTCTTCGTATGATATTAAGTTTTATGATCTGAAACTTGAAAGTGTGAAAGAATTTGTAAAAAGGGATGATAGTGTCAGCCGTCCGACCACGGCACCCTTCCGGTGTTCCGAACCAGGTTATGAGTCAGAGTAGGCCTCCGGTAAGATTAAACTTCTAACAATACTGTTTCCCAACGCAGCATATCAAACTGAAAACACGAGTTTATTTAAATATAAAGGGTGTTTTTCTCCAAAGCCGTCTCAGTGAATTAAGTCTGTTTCATTGAAAGCGACAAACGAAAGAATCCAATATTTATTTGCAGCTTGGACCAAACTGCGAGCAGACCTTGATGATCACGGGCTGCTGCTCTACAGTCATCCAATAATTATGACATGGCGTCTCTTCAACAGAAAGAATGAGGTTAGCTGGATCTGTTCTGACAAGCTGGTTGCCTCCTGTCGCCTCCGATGGTGTCCCTCTCATACAATACCCGTTCCCCACGACAGCCAGTACATGCATCACCCCAACCTCCTCTTACCTGCTGTGACTGCCCTCCAGCAGGGCAGCGACGGACTGCCGGAGTTTACCTACAAATCCGCACAGGGAGAAAACGACACCCCCAAACTGAGCGCTGGTCAGGAGGAGCACGGACGCTTCCAGAATCAACATCTGGAGCCGCCGACTCAGATGGTCCAGACGGGCCTGATCCATCAGCACAGTCTGTGTGTGTGAGAAAAAACAGGGTCACCTCAAAACCCCAAAGATGAGCTTTTTGGAAAGTTATATCAGATAGTATACAAAATAAAATTTCTTAAAAGGAAAATCAAGAATTAATTTTCATATAAAATACAAGAAAAAGCCTAGCATTCCCTGATGAATGCATATCACCCGCCACTTTTTCTACCAGAGTTTCAGACTAAACTGTAGACGTACATCCAACAATTGCTTTCTGTGAGTTTCATTCAAACTATACCAGTGGTTCATGATAATTTAATAAAAGACAGACTCACAAACACAAAGAAAACCATTATCATCCGCCTTTCGGTGGTGGTGTGTGATAACTAAACAGACTTGCAGCACATGTTGATCAGTATCTGAGCTCATCTGACAGCTCTCTGTTCATACAGCTAATAAATAAGGTTTGGAGCTGTTGCTCTACATGAACCCTAATGTTGAGTCACATGTTTTAGAGCAATTGCATCCTCCCTCATAATCAATAAAATATCACCCAGTGTAACGAAAGGTGCAGGGAGAGATGTCATTTCCCAGGCGGCTGCTGACCTCGGGATATTTCTGGTCCTGCGGGTCCCAGCAGAGCAGACGCATGAAGGCCCAGTTCAGGACGGCAGTGGGACGGAGGAGACCTCGGCTGTCAGGACCGGGAGAATCAGGCCACGCTCTGAACACAGACATCTCCTCCGATGCTGCTGCCTGAAGCCAAGCAGCTGTGTTGTTTAGATAAGCTGAGGGGGGAGTGACAAAAACAACAACTTTATGACGGCATTGTAGCCATTTAGTTCAAACTTTGATTAGTACATTTTGTATAATCTTATGCCATTTCAAAAACTCAATGTGTGTGTTCAGCATAACTATTAACCACCATCACAAGGAATTTTAGCTCACTGTCTGTGAGTTAGATGAGTTATAGCCACGTTTGTCATGGCTAATGTCTACTAGCTGTGGCGGACATTGTGAATGGGAGCGACTCGCATTATTTTCTCTCCTCACCTGGCTCTTTATCCAGGATCTGCTGGAATTTGAGCCTCTCGTACTGAACGGCCTGCTGCAGGAGATGAGGCCTCAGGCTCTGGATGGTGAAGTTCACCATGTCGGTCTTCATCAGACCCAAAACGCGGAAGATTTCCCTGAGAGAAACAGAGAAATCATTGTTAGTTACATAACATTGTTAATATGTGGACGATGGCTGCCACAGCTAATCAGTCTTAGTCTATATGATAATTGTAATTTTTTCTAATCCTGAGCTAAAATCTGGTGTGGCTATAGCTGAGAATCATTCCCAAAATGTACTCCAAGTGCTAACAGATTATGTGAGATGCTCTATTATACAGCATATGGTGATATTTGAGTAATCAGAGGTAACTTGTGACAGTATTGTGGTACCAATCCAGTTTTTACCTAAGGAGCTCCACAGGGTCCTTGAGGTCCCGCACAGCTCTGATCTCTGGGTCTCGAACCGGAGCACACAAAGACGTCATGGTGTTTATAATAAATCCGACCAGTCTGTGTAGGTCAAGAGCTCCATGATCGACCTGCTGGCGGATCAGCTCCAAGTCCAGAACTTCATCCAGCTGAGCCCTCAGTCTGACATGTCCAGGCAACAGCAGCGATTCCAGCGTCTGATAGGAAAGAAAAGCTTCATTTTGCAGGGTTGTGTGAACGATGACTAATGTTTTCCTCTTTATTTTACCGTACAGGGTTTGCAACCTATGTCTGCAAACTTTGTTATTGTAGCCCTTCAAGCATCAAAACGTTCATCTCAGTCAGGAGATGGCTGCTGTGACTTCTGGTTTTTGGAGGCTTTATACTTTTCAAAGTATTTCAATTTACTTACAAATATTTTCCCCATAAAAATACATCAAGATCTCCAGGGCTTTGTGTATTTTATTTTAAATCGTGTTCTCGTTTAAATCTGCTTCAGCAAACTTCAACTTTTCTTTTGCTACTTTTAGTTTTTAGCTAACATTCTGTAAGTTTTAGCTTTTACCCATCTTTTGCAACTGTAAGATTCAAACTTGCTTTATGATACTTTCAGTTAGCCTTTGGATACTTTAAGGCAGGGCTATTCAACTGGCGGCTCAGGGGCTAAATCAAGATCTCCAAGATGGCGCCGGTGTGTAGGGCTGCCCGTCTCTCGCTCTCTGCTTGTATTGTATTTTTGTTATTTTTACAATGGTTGGTGCAGTGTGCCGAGTCATATTTTCAGTATGATCGTTGGGCACTTTTGGAGCTCCGTACATTTGCTGAAATGCCTGCGGAGTTTTTGTACAGCGGTCAGCACTCTCCTCCACCGGTCCTGTCTGAGATTCCTGCATTCCTTCTGCGTGACCCTGGCCTTTCTCCATGGAGGAAACGTCGCAGACGTTGTGGGAAGCGTGCAGGGATTTTGGTGAAACTGAGGCAAAGTGTGGATTATTCTATCAGGACTCGCTCTGGATCTGATCATCTCCTCTCTGACCCGTGGTGTTCCCGTGGCCCAGCTGCTGGCCAGCTTCCCGCGCGCTCAGTCCATGGAAACACCTGGAGTTGTTTACCTGTGCGCCGCACCAGCAGACCTGGAGGAGCTGTTCTTCATAACCTGCGCCAGCTGGCGCGCGCGTCTCCCTCCACGGCTGTGTCTGCGTTGGACCCTATCAGGATGTGTTTAATCAACGCAAGGTCTGTCTCCAACAAAACATTTATCCTCAATGACTTTTTTAAAGATCAGGAGTTGGATTTTCTGTTCGTCACGGAATCTTGGATTTCTGATGGTGAGTCCAGCAACTTGGTGGAACTACTACCCCCGGACTGTCTGTATTTCAATGCCCCGCGGCCATCAGGTCGGCGCAGGGGGGTGGGGGTTATTATTAACAGTTTTTAAAGCAAACTTGGCCTGTAAAGAGTTGTCCATCCCGGTGTCCCGCGCCAGCTTTGAGCTAAGCGTCTTTGAACTCGGACACTTTCCTACGGTTCTGTGTGCACTCGTCTACCGCCCCCCTCGTTCTAAGGACTTCATAAATGAATTCTCTGACTTTTTGGCTGATATCACTCAGAGATACACTCACTTTTTGCTTATTGGTGACTTTAATTTGCATGTGTGTTGTCAGGAGAAGCCCTTAGTGAAGGACTTTCTAGATTTATTGGACTCTTTTAATTTAACTCAGCAGGTAAACGGTCCCACCCAAGAACACGGTCACACGCTGGACCTCGTTTTAACACGCGATGTCTCCGTTTCTAATTTGAAAATCGGTGACAATGTTTTTTCAGATCACATGCCTGTATTGTTTGACTTCACCCCCCGCTTGTCCTACAGCTAAGACGTGCGTTCCTGCACATACGCGTTCCATTAACCATTTCACTGCTGCTCGTTTTAATGAAGGTTTTAATTCTGAGAGGATCGAACAGTTCCCGGTGTCTCTTACCACTGAGGAGCTAACCTCTCAGTTCAACTCTGCCTGTTTAGATGTTCTGGACCGTGTTGCTCCCCTTAAAACCAGAAAAACGAAACTTAAATCAGAGCCTTGGCTGAATGACGTCACTCGAGCCGTTAGGCGGCAGTGTCGCAGAGCTGAACAAAGGTGGAGGAAGGACAGGCTGCAGGTTTCTTTTCAAATGTTAAGGGAGAGTTGGCGTCACTATCAGAAAACCGTTAAAGCTGCCAAATGTAAATTCTTCTCTGATTTAATTGTCTCCAACTCCCATAACCCCCGAGTTCTTTTCTCCACCCTGAACTCAGTTCTACACCTCAGTGAGCCTTCACCTCTGGAATCCTCAACTGAGCTGTGTGAAAACTTCCTCCATTTCTTTTTAGAAAAAGTGGCAAACACCCGGGCACTCATTTCTCCACCAGCTCATGATCTGTCCATCCCATCTCAGTGATTGGCTGTGTTTGACCACTTTGAGCCCATCTCTCTGTCTTCTCTGGAGCAGGTAATGTGCAGCATGAAGCCATCTGGTTCCCCCTTTGATGTGGTCCCCCCTCGACTACAAAGGAAGTTTTTCCTACCCTGGGTCCTTTTATTCTCGCTATTCTGAATAGCAGTTTATCCTCAGGTGTGGTGCCAAAAACTTTTAAACATGCTGCTGTCGAGCCCCTCCTGAAAAAAACCTAACCTTGACCCCTTAGTCATGTCCAACTTCCGGCCTGTCTCCAGACTCCCATTCACCTCTAAACTACTGGAAAAAATTGTGGAGTCTCAGTTGAAACAGTTTTTGGGGGATCACACTATCCTAGAGTTATTCCAATCTGGCTTCAAATCTCTCCATAGCACTGAAACTGCTCTACTGAAGGTTTTTAATGAATTTTCATATCCACAGACGCAGGTGATTCTGTGCTGCTTGTCCTATTGGACCTTACATCTGCTTTTGACACCATCGACCACAACATCCTCATTTCTAGACTGGAGCAGTGGGTGGGCATCACAGGGTCAGCCCTTAAATGGTTTGGGTCCTACCTCTCTGACAGAACCTTCTGTGTCAATATCAAAGATTTTAGTTCGGCATCGACAGCGCTCCAGTGGGGGGTACCGCAGGGGTCCATCCTCGGTCCCCTTCTCTTTTCTTTATACCTGCTGCCACTAGGTGCTATCTTCCGCAAACACAACATACCCTTTCATTTCTACGCCGATGATTGCCAAATTTACTTCCCCCTGAGGCACAGAGGCACACGCTCTATTCAGCCTCTTCTTGACTGCCTGGCTGACATCCAGGACTGGATGGCTTTAAACTTCTTAAGCTTCAATGAGAAGAAGTCTGAAGTCATGCTGTTCCATCCCAGTGGCTCACTCATGAGCCATGACATTGACCTTTTCTCTCTAGCCCCGCTAGAGAAACAAAAGGTCACTAATCTGGGGGTGATAGTGATAATAAACTCAACAGTCACGTAAACATGATGGTCAAATCCTGTTTTTTTCAGCTGAGACGGCTGTCTAAGCTGAAGCCTATACTCTCCAAAAAGAACCTTGAGACAGTGATCCACGCCTTCATAACATCTAGGCTTGATTACTGCAATTCACTTCTGTTTGGAATCAGTCAGTCCTCCATTGCTCGTCTACAACTTGTCCAAAATGCTGCAGCCCGATTTTTAACTGGTACAGACTATAGAGAGCACATCACGCCAGTTTTGGCCTCCCTGCACTGGCTACCCATTCACCTTCGGATCCAATTCAAAATTCTCATGTACGTTTTTAAATCACTGAACAGTTCCGCCCCATCCTATCTCACTGATCTTCTGCAGCCATATGTCCCACTGCGCTCTCTGAGGTCAGCAGACCAGATGCTTCTCTCAGTCCCAGAAACCCGTCGTAAGCTCAGAGGTGACGGGGCTTTCTCTGTTGCAGGTCCACGACTGTGGAATGAGTTGCCACTGAGTGTCCGGCAGGCTCCCACACTCTCAGCCTTTAAGTCTCGCTTGAAGACCCACTTCTATTCTCTTGCCTTGACCACGTTGTGATTTGTTTTGGTCTGGTCTGTACTCTACACTGTTGGCCATTTTAGTTAGCTTCTGCTGCTATTTGTATCTGTATTTCTATTTTATGTTTTCCTGTCCGCTGTGCATGTTTGTTTTCTTTTGTACAGCACTTTGGTTGGCCTTGTTGCTGTTTTAAATGCTCTATAAATAAATTGGTATGGTATGGTAAATCAGGCCCGTTGACGAACTCAGTTCGACTCACCAATGGGTTCATTTTAAATAAAACTAGATTTTAAATGAAAAGACAAACTTAATGACAATAACTGATGGATGTCCAGCCCCTGAGCTCTTGGTTTTCAGTAACTGTTCCCCCCTGAGCAGTTTAGTTGAATAGCCCTTTAAGCTTTTTGCTACTTTTAGCAAACATTTTGGTACTTTGGCTTTTTGCTCATCTTTGGGTACTTTTAACAACCCTTACGATGCTTTTAGCCTTTAGCTAACATATGCTGCTTTTACTAGCATTTTTTATTTTTAGCCAGTGCATTGAGCTTTTGCTAACCTTTTGCTAACTTTAGTTGTTTGAAATTAAGCTTTTAAACATTTAGCTTTTAGTTGGCTTTTGGCTACTTTTATTTGGCATTACGCTACTGTTTAGCTACTTTTGGCTTTTACTGTTGTTGCTTCTTTTAACATTTAGCTCATGCTTTTTTTTCCTCTTTTTAGCTAGTGTTTTGCTACTTTTAGCTTGTTTTTACAGACGTCAGCTGTTTTTTTTTTTTTTTTTTTTTGTCTTCTTTAAGCCTTAACATTCCCTTTGGGATTAATAAAGTATTTTAGAAATTTGAAATTCAAATTTCAGCAAAGCCATTCGGCGCTCAGCATTTAAGCTGCATTTTTGCAGAAATGTAATTTCTGTAGTTTATTTGTGGAGATTTTCTCTGAACTTACAGTCTTGACCTCCTGCAGCAGAACAAGAGCATGGCTGAAGTTTGGAGGGTCGCTGCTCAGCTCTTCCTGAAGACTGTCCCAAAATGCCCGGTGGACAATATCTTTCACTCTGCCCTCTAGGCTAAATCAGGACAAGTAGAGTTAAATTTATCTTATATTAGCAGTTTGAGTGTTGTTGAAAGTTTTTTTTTTTTTTTTTACGTGGTAATAGGAGTGGTTTGGGGTTTGAAACAGAAGTCTCTGTTCACCAGGATCTCATGTGCCAGACTCAGATTGGAAACACAATTTTCCAGATCCATCAGGCTGGATAACGAGGCTGTGGGAGGACTCCCTGAGACACAGACAGAACGCACGCATAATTAAAACTGCCACGGTGGTAATGATTCAATTAGTAACAGTGTCAGAAGTGTTGTAGAATCAGACCTATAGGAGAGTCAAGTGTTTCCAGACTGGGAAGGTCAGCAGAACCACCTGCAGCCTCCTTTCTCTGGGCCGACATTTCTGCCAAATTCTGCAACATTATATCATTATCGTACAACTAGTCGTTTACTATATGTTCACAAGAAGTTATGATAAATTGTGACCCACTTACGGAGCTCTACCTATCCTATACATGGAGTTCTAAATTAGAACCCATTATTATATAACTGTATCATATGTTATTAAATAATAAATCTTGGAAATATGGTCAAATATGTTTGGGTTGACTCCAAAAATTACAAGTCTACTGGTTACTTCCTAAAGTTTTATTAAAAACTGTCCAGTAGTCCATGAGATATTTTGCTAACAGACAGACAGTTAAACTTTTGACCAAACATCTTGCAGTCTGTTGGCTCAGGTTGTTGATCAGTCTCAGCTAGTAGGTTAAAATAAAAATAAAATGAAATTGAACTGAATTGTTGCCATTTTGTGTTTAATACTTACAATTGTTTTAACTAATACATTTTCACTGGAGACTGATGGTTAAATAAATTTAAGAATAATTTAAGCTTCACAAATTTACTTATGAATCTACAAAACTTGTGTACATGTTCAATGTAGCTATATACACCGAGACACCAAGAAAATATTTACGTAACTCCATAGACGCAAACACACCTGCACCATATTTATAACGTAACGTTTAAAAACTTACCTGGTGTTGTGTTTAAAGTTTAAAGGTGTTGTGGATAAACCGTCAAACAGATCAGCTGTTTACAGGATCGTCTAACGTTCTGTTTGAAATCTGGGAGAAACCATTCTGTCGGAAGATAGGGGCAGCGAAGTTTAAATAACATCAAGTTAGCGGTTCAGCGCGTATTCTAAAAGTGTTTTATCGATTTAATAAAAAAAAGTAAAATTTAGATCACGAAAAATATCAAACATTTATATGTATATTATTTTAAATATATATTATATGTAAAAGCAGGTCGTTTCTTTGGTCTGGCTCAATCTCAAATCATAACAGTGGGCGGGGCTAAAGTGTAAATTTCTCAGTCGGCGGCCAGACCAGTGTATGAACAAAACTCGCCCTACCTGATCAACATTTTTATTCTAGTTTTATGAAAACAAAATGTAGGCATTAACGGCTCATTGTAGAAAACAAGCTGGAACCGCTGGAAAACCACCGTGGATTTTGAGAAAAGTCTAATAAAAAGTGCAGCTGAACAATCTGGACAGGTAATCCTAAAGAAGCGGGTGATCATGTTTTTATTCAGCGCCTGTCTGTCTGATACCAAAACACTATGATCCAGTGGATGATTTATTGAAACTTGTAGCAGATAATCACTGGATGCTCTATAGCAATGTATTTTAATTCAATTCAATTCAGTTTATTTATATAGCGCCAAATCAACAACAAAGTTCTCAGGTCACTTTACAAGAACATTCATTTCAATTCAAAAATACTTTATTAATCCCAGAGGGAAATTATTTGTTGTTGTAACTCGTTATCTTCATTTCATTAAGAGATGTTATAGATACTGATGGCTGTGGACAGGAAGGATCTCTTGTAAAGGTCCATCCCACAGTGGATCCTAAGAAACTGGCTGCAGATGCCGTCTGATCCGTCCACCCAGACTCGGCTGGCCTCTCGGTTCCCCCGGGCTGTAGGATCGCCCAAATGCTGGGCAGAACTCCTCCCAGAGCAATGGCCACTCCTCCCAGCAGTCTGCTAAGCTCCTCATCGCTGCGGACAAACAACTTTAGGTGCCGAGGGATGATCCTGTCCTTCCACTGTCATGAGCCGTGTTTCCTTCTAGTTCCAGGATCTCAGTGGTCAGGCACTCGAGCACAGCTGGCAGGTAGATGAGAATGTGTCCACATACAGTACATAAAAGCCAATTAGTAAATTTCTCTATCTAAGGAACACAACATGTATATGTTAATCCCCGAGGCTCAATGGGATTAACATGTATAAATAAAGGTTGAATGAATAAAATCGTTTTCACCACACTTACTACATTCCAGATATCTGAAATCGAGTTATGACTAAACATATTATTTAAGATATCTTTAATAATTATATTTTGACTAGTCAAAATACTTATTTCCTGCTTAGCTGAAATTAAATCCTGGTTCACGTCTAACTTCCTGAAATTTAACAGTGATAAAACAGAGTTTCTACTCATTGGCACTAAATCCACCTTATCTAAAGTTAACAGTTTCTCACTCATCATCGACAACTCCTTAGTTTCTCCCTCCCCTCACGTCAAAAGTCTGGGTGTCATTCTTGACAGCACTCTCTCTTTCTACTCTCACATCATTAGTATTACCCGGTCTGCATATTTCCACCTTCGAAATATCAACCATCTCCGTCCATCCCTCTCTCCACACTCTGCTTCCATCCTGGTCCAGTCTGGTCATTTCTCGAATCGATTAATGTAACTCTCTCCTCTTTGGTCTGCCTCACAAATTAATCCGTAAGCTTCAAATGGTTCAAAATTCAGCTGCCCGCATCGTCACCAAAACCCCCTCATTTAACCACATCACCCCAGTTTTACAGCAACTTGACTGGCTTCCAGTCACATTCAGAATTCAATTTAAAATCTTGTTGTTCACTTTCAAAGCTATCCACAACCTCGCCCCTCCTTACCTGTTGGATCTCCTGCACATTACCACCCATTCACGCTCCCTTCGTTCTTCCACTTCCATCCACCTTAACGTGCCTCTTGTCCGCCTCAGCACCATGGGACACAGAGCCTTTTCTCACTCTGCTCCCCAGCTCTGGAATGCTCTTCCCCCGGACATCCGTAACATTGACTGCCTTCTGACCTTCAAATCAAAACTCAAAACTCATCTGTTCAAGCTAGCCTTTTCACTTTAACTGTTATTTTTAAATGTTATTTTCTTTTTGGTTTAGTGTTTTTAATAGTTATTTTATATTGTTTAGTACTGTGTTTTTAGTGCTGTGAAGTGTCCTTGGGTGTTTTGAAAGGCGCTGACAAATAAAATGCATTATTATTATTATTATTACATTCTGACTACGTGGTAGCCGGAGACTTTAACCACGTGAATCTAAAGGACTGTCTTCCAAGCTTTTATCAACATGTGACAATTCCGACACGTGGAGACCACACGCTGGACTGTGTTTACACGAACGTAAAAGATGCATACAAAGCCGAACCCCGCTCCCACCTAGGACTGTCAGACCACATCTCAATCTTCCTGGCTCCTGCTTACATGCCCCTGCTGAGACGCTCCAGACCGGTACAAAAGAAAGTTAAATGCTGGATCCAGGACAGTGGCCCCATACTGAGAGATTGTTTTGATCGAACAGACTGGCAGGTTTTCAGTGAAGCTGCTGAAAATGGAGGTTCGCTTGATCTTGACCAATACACATCCTCAGTTCTGGGTTACATTAGTACATGTACTGACACAGTCTCCACTATCACTATCCACTATACCCAAACAGAAAACCTTGGCTGAATGCAGAGGTGCGTACCCTGCTGGAAGCCAGGAACACTGCCTTCAGGTCTGGAAACTCAGAGGAGCTGAGTAGGACAAGAAAAGAGCTGGTTGCTGGTATTAAGAGGGCCAAGGGCACATATGCAAAGAGGATCGAGGGTCAATTCATCTCACAAGACCCTCGGAGCATGTGGAGGGGCATTAAGTGCATAACAGATTATAAAGGAAGGAGTGAACAATGCCCCAAAAACCCATCTCTGCCTGATGCCCTCAACAAGTTCTATGCACGCTTTGAAGACCCGAACAGACCACCCAGCACCAGACTCACCTCACCACCGGATGAAGAGCATCTCAGCGTGACCTCAGCAGAAGTAAGGAGTACCTTCAGGAGGATTAATCCGCACAAGGCAACTGGCCCAGACAACATCCCCGGAAAAGTGTTGCAGGAATGTGCTGATCAGCTCTGTGAGGTGCTGGCAGACATCTTTAACACCTCACTTACCCTGGAGACAGTTCCCACCTGCCTGAAGACTGCCACCATCATCCCAGTCCCAAAAAGCTCTACAGTGACTGGTCTGAATGACTACCGGCCAGTGGCCCTCACCCCGATAGTTGCTAAATGCTTTGAAAAACTGGTCATGACTCGCATCAAAACAACCATCAACATCAACGAGGACCCTCATCAGTATGCATACCGTGAGAACCGATCAACAGAGGATGCCATCTCCTCTGTGGTCCACACTGCGCTCAACCACCTGGAGCAGAAAAACTCTTACGTCCGTATGCTCTTTGTGGACTTCACATCCGCCTTCAACACCATGATCCCCCAAACCCTGATGGACAAACTATCCACACAAGGACTAAGCTCCTCCATTTGCAACTGGGTACTAGACTTTTTAACAAACAGACCACAGTTAGTGAGGATTCACAATCTCTCCTCCTCCACCATAACCCTCAGCACTGGCTCTCCTCAGGGATGTGTGTTGAGCCCCCTCCTGTTTACTCTGCTCACGTATGATTGTGCAGCTACCCATCCAGGCTGTCACCTTGTAAAGTTTGCAGATGATACAGCGGTGGTGGGATGCATCACAAACAATGATGAGTCCAGCTACAGGCAAGAGGTGGAACACCTGGAGAGCTGGTGCAGAGAATAACCTTAACATCAATGTGAAGAAGACAAAGGAGATGATTGTGGACTTCAGAAGGAACAAAAACATCTACACCCCCCTGAACATAAGAGGATCTGCAGTGGAAGTGGTCTCCAGCTACAAGTACTTGGGTGTACACATGAATGACAACCTCAGCTGGAGCAACAACACCACCAGCCTGATCAAGAAAGCTCATCAGAGACTACCTCCTCAGACGGCTGAGGCGAGCTGGTCTGGGAAGCTCAGTCCTCACCTCCTTCTACAGGTGTGCAGTGGAGAGCATCCTGTGCTCCAGCATCAACATGTGGCATGGAGGCTGCACAGCTGCAGAAAGAAAAGCTTTGCAGAGAGTGGTGAAGGCTGCACAGAAATCTGTCGGAATCAGCCTCCCCACCATCACAGACATCTACACCTCCAGATGCAGGAAGAGGGCCACCTGCATCATGAAGGACCCCACTCACCCAGCACACACACCTTTTGCCCCACTCCCCTCAGGAAGGAGGTTAAGGAGCATTAAGTGTAGAACCACTAGACTGAGGAACAGCTTCTACCCTGAGGCTGTTAGACTCATGAATCTCTAACTAGAATAATCACTGTAAAAAACCATATCATGTTGCTGCTGATCTGTTTCATGTTGCTGCTGATCTGTTTCAATGTTGATGTGTTCATGCATGCACATCTGCTCACAGACTCATGTTCATGTTTGTGCTGATGTTCAATGTTTTTATGAGTGCTTAGTGTATATTTAGTTGATGTTTTTCTTAGTTCATATCTTAGATGTTATTACTGTTTTTCTTATACATTTTATTGTTGGATGTAACTGGGACCCTGTGTACATAATTTCGCTCCACCACATGTACCACATGAGGTGCGAATGACAATAAAGAAACTTTGACTCTGACTAGTATAAATGACATCAGATTTACCATTACGTTGTATGGAGGCTTCAATTCAAGAAGTCTTAAACTTAATTTTGACTAGTCATTTTTGCTTTCAATATATATCTTCTCGTTAGTTCCGAGTTCTGACTAGTCATAATTACAATTAAATATATCTTAAATTACATCATTATTCAAGATATCTTAAATGTATTTTTAGATATCACAAGGATTTGACTAGCACAAATTAAATTGCAGGTATCTTGATAGCAAATAACGACTAGGCAACAAAACTTAGAGATATCTAGAACTGTACTTATGACTATTCAAAATTCCTTTTAAGATATCTTGAATTGTTATTCTAACTAGTCAGAATGTAAATCCGATATCTCAAATTAGCATTATGGATAGTCAAATAAATAACAGTAAAAATCCCAAATATAAAGGTGCATTTTTTTTTACAGCGAAGAATAAATTTAAATACACATACATTAAAAAAATGACCCGAGACAGAAATGTTTAGCAAATTATTTATAACTGCAAAATGTATAACAGTGTTTTTCATAAATACAGAATCTGACAAAGTATCTAAAAAAAGGTATAGTTTCTATCACAGCAACATAACACAGATATGGTATTTTTTTTATTTATTTTTAAAAACAAAAACTCCCACACAAATTGAATTTTACAAATTTGCATATTTTAAAAAGGTAAAATTCAAATTTAATTTTGAAATAATAAAGTTAAATTACAGAAACTGTTTCACACCTTTTATCTCGCTTGAGCCGATATGCATTGTTTTACAAATGCACAACACATCATGTCATTTGCATGACAACAAAAACACAAAAAACACAAAAGACAGAAAATAAGAGCCATAAGCCAGGTTGTGTAACAAAAGCAGCAAACCCAAACTGTTCCTCGGATAAATTAGTGTCTAAAAACCTGAGACAGAAAATCCATGTCATTCTAGTTAATTGTTCTGAAAAAGCAGGGGGAAAATCCTTTGTAAGCAATTTAAATTTACAGGAGAAAATTTGTGAAAGAAAAAAAATTAATCGATGTGACCAAAGAGGCTCCTTAAATGGTTTTCTCTGATTCAAGCTTTGCTTTCAGGAGCTACGGGAGTCTGATTGTGAGAAAAGGCAAAAGAAGATCTGCTGAATAAAAAAACAGACTGGTGAATACAGTCTTCTGTTCCCAGCCGCACACACAAGCGTCTTTCTTTCACACGCCAACAAAACATGTACAAAAACATGTGTAATAGTACCATAAATCCAAACAGTACTCATGTCTATTCAAGCACAGACTGTGTTGCAGTGTGACCCATCCCAGGCACACCTGAACAGGTAAACACACTCTGGTACCACTTGTTTTCTCAGCTCCGTTTTCTATAGAAAACAGTTGTTCCTATATCATTTAAAAGAAAATGGAATCAGAGGAAGTAAAGCAGAGGAGAACTAAAGATGAAGAACAGAAGGGTAAGGATGGATCATGTTGCTTTTTAAAAGATATAACTGATTTTTGCTTCCTGATGGCAGGTTACAGATGATGCTTTTTAAAGCTTGCAACAAAAGTAAAAAAACAAACAAACAAACAAAAACAAAAACAACCAAGAATGTTATGTTTGGGCAGAGTGAGAAATGACGATGAACCACAGCATCCTCCTTCATCATGACCCTCTGGGGTTGCGACAGGCTAAAAATTTGGATGGGCCATCATCACTCACAAACAAGGGATTACAATTAATTCTTGCAGGGATTTAAGTTTGTTTTTTTTCCCATTAGGCACCTTGCCAGAGACACTTAGGCCCAGTTTACACAAAAACGATTTCTACTGAAAATAGAATATTTTTGTTACGTTTGTTCTGTTCATTTATACGAAAACAGCAAATGTTTTCTCTGACAACGGCACAATTTGAGAACGGGTTCCAAATTGCAACGGTTCAAAAATGACCCGGTGTCCGTTGTCGTGTAAATGGAAAAAATAAATATTTTCTGTCAGGGAAACCCTGGCTCATGCGCAGTATGACGCAAAACATAACATCTTCCTACAATCCACAGAAGAAGAAACAATCAACAGTGGTGGATACCAGAGTGTTGTTTGTGCTTCTGACTCTTATAAACCTAACTATGACTCTCCAACACTGTGCTAATTTTTACCTCTTTACGTACCCTAAGCAGAAATCATCGAAGTTGATTTAGTCACCCTAAGCAGTCCATATAAATATTTATTCTCTGCCGTCTCGACTTGTAGCAGTTTTCAGGTATAACTTTTTTTACACATGCGCACTTAAGAGTTTCAAGTTTCAAAGAACATAGCACCAACTAGTGGTGTCGTGAGGGAATTACACCTGTTCCACGTTGCTGTGTAAACAAAGATTGTAATTTGAAAGTTTTCATGTTAATGTGTTTATAGAAATGGGGGAAAAAAAATCAGTTTTGTCGTGTAAACAGGGCCTCAGTCTGCTGTTAGGTGTCCAGAAGCAGTCTGGATAGACACTGAACAGAAAGAAACTTTGCTTGCTGGAAAAAAAAAAAAAATGGATTACACATGATCAGGTGTGACCTGTGTGTTCAGGTTTGGATTTTAATCTATTTAAAATTTTAATCCATTATGCATTATCATGCATAATATTGCACATTTTTTGACAGGTCATCATAGTCTTTGAAAATAAAAAACAATTGCTTTTCTTAAAAAAAGTTGATATGATCTTAAAAAATCTGCCAATGGACTCCGGTTGGTGATGGTCAATATATTCGTCTAGTCGCAGAATCTGTTCCCTAGTTTGAACTCGATTAAAGCATGAATTATGCCAGTTTTGTGAAAGAATGTATGTTCTGCATGTTTTTACTCCTGTAACACGCAACGTCGTATACAAAATCGGACATCCGGCTCTTAGGTTAGCACCAATAAAAACTAAAAAAAACAAAACTGATCATAACACTGAGAATCTGTTTAATCTGTCAAGCTAACGTGAGATATGAAAGAAAAGAGTCCGGTAGTGTGGAGAAGCTCGAGTCATGGCACAGTAAGCGCTCCAATCTATGCACGCGTTTTCCTGCTACGAGTCTTTGAGCATGTTGATGCGTGCAAAGATCTTAAGTGCAGGTCCCAGCTTAATGTTCATGGTGCTCATTAGGTGGTCTTCCTTCAAGAGGAGCAAGGCTTGTCCATCAATCTCCTGAGATCGAAATTCATCTGCGATCTCCTGACAACCTGCACAACAGCAGAAGAAAACATCAAATTCCTGCAAAACTACATGTGCACATTCTCTAACTATCTTTCAGATCGGAGGCAATGTGTTCAACATAATGGTATTTCCTCCAGTTATTTAACAGTCAACAATGTTGTACCACAAGGCTCAGTCTTAGGACCCACCTTCTTTACAATTTACCTAGGTAATGTAGGTCAAAGCATCCCTGATGCATCCTTACATTTCTATGTTGATGACACAGTTGTTTATTGTCGAGCTAAAACAGTTGCTAAAGCTTTCCAACTTTTGCAGTCCGCCTTTGACATTATCCAGTCAGATTTGTTCCGTCTCAAACTTGTCCTAAATGCTGATAAAACCAAAGGGATGCTTTTTTTTCAAACAGGAAGTCAGTCCCAGCAGTTCTTCCTCAGATTTTTATCCTCAAATGGTGTCCCTATTGAGTTTGTCGATTCCTAAAAATATTTGGGTATCTTGGTCAATTCAGATCTCTCTTTTAAGCTCCACGTGGAAAACCTATAAAGGAAACTGTAATTTAAATTGAGTTCTATTTCATCCCTCCTGACCGCCAAAGGGCGGTGCTGAAAGCACTGAATGTTCCCTTCACGCATGCGCTGTTCGAGTAATAATACCAACGGAGTCACAGGTGTGACACGGATGACCAATCAGAGGCTATATAGTCCGACGTCATCCGCTGCTCTGCTCCGTTTTTCTTCTCGCGCGCGGTTCAATTCAGGGCTTCAGCCCTTTGGACCTTTTCTGAACTTTTTACCGTCATCGGAAGCCCGACTGCCCGTCTGTGGGAGTAGCGTGTTCGCCCTCCTAGGGCTGCGACGGTTTAACCCTGTTCAAAGGTATTTCTGCTGTTTCGTTGGGGACTACGGCGATTTCCGCCTCTCCCAACTTACAGCGTCTGATTACTATGTGTGTGATTCAACACCGGTGAGTAGTGTTTTCCTTATATTTCGCCGTTGGTTAGCAGTAGCGTTTGCTCAGCTCACGCTTGTTGGGAGACCTCCAACCGCATGGTTGGCTGGACTGTGCTCCGACGTTGTTTATGACTAATATGTGTGCGATTTAACACCGGTGAGTAGTGTTTTTTTGCTTATATTTTGCTATTGGTTAGTAGTAGTGTTTGCTCTGCTCCTGTTTACTGGAGGCCTCCAACCGCGTGGTCGGTTGGACTGTGCTCCGAAGTTTGCTTATTACGTAGCCAGCTGAGTTCCAGGCCTTGTTTTCATTGGTGAAGGCGAGTGTTCTCACCCCCTCTCCCAATTGTCCTCTTACCAGCTGAGCTAGTGGTGCTAGCCTCTCTGAGTTTTAACCTTGTTTTAATTGGTGAAGGCGAGCGTTCTCACCCACTCTCACAATTGTCCTCTTACCAGCTGAGCTAGTGGTGCTAGCATCTCTGAGTTTTGGCCTTGTTTTCATTGATGAAGGCGAGTGTTCTCACCACCTCTCACAATTGTCCTCTTACCAGCTGAGCTAGTGGTGCTAGCCTCTCTGAGTTCTAACCTTGTTTTCATTGGTGAAGGCGAGCGTTCACGCCCCCTCTCCCAATTGTCCTCTCTTACCAGCTGAGCTAGCGGTGCTAGCCTCTCTGAGTATCTTGGACATAGCTGGGTAAGGAGCATGGACGGCTCTCACTGCTGTACAGTCTGTGGAGCCATGCTCCAGACAGATGACGGTCACGACCTGTGTCCTGCCTGCCTTGGACATGACCATCTGGTGGATGCCCTGTCAGAGAACTCCTGCATGAATTGCAGCTTCATGTCGCATGCTGTGAGGGTGGCCCGGCTGGCCCAGTTTTGCCCCAAACTCGGCAATGACCTCCCGCCTTCTGGGCAGGAGGCTCCACCTAGGCGCTCTAAGCGCCGGACTGAGGCTGCAGTCTCTGTGGCCCTTCCTGGGAAGAAGCGAGCCAGATCTGATAGGGGCCTCTACACAAGGGTGGAGCAGCTCTCCGCTGAATTAGCGGAGATTAAGTCCCTTTTTCAGGTACGCCAACTGGGAACTGAACCAGTGGCAGCAACCGGACTCTCCTCCCCACCCATGCCTGAACTGGCTGTGGAGGAAGATGTGCTATCCTTGGCTGCCTCTGTCTCTCACTTTTTAGGTGAGGAGGATGGGCATTCATCTCAAGTCTCAGAGACAGCTTCACTTTCTTCTTCTCGGAGCGCAGTTAGTGGGTCGGGTGACGGCTCGATGCAGGACGTCATGCGTATGGCCCTGAGACAACTGCAGCTGGACGTCCCGCAATCAGAGGCGTCCACCCCTGGAAGTGCCTTCTTCAGGCGCGGACTGACGCCTCCTTCCTTTTCTGTCCCTCCATCAGAGGAGTTCCTGAGGGAGTTGCATGGTTTCTGGTGGGACCCCAAAGCCTTTGCGCGCCTCTCTGCAGATGGCCGAGTGTTGGTGGCCATGCATGAGCCGGCTGCAGCAGGCTTGGATGGCATGCCAGCGATAGAACCTGCTGTTGCCTCTCTCATCGTGTCACCAGAGGAAGCTCTGCGCAGTCATGTTCGGTGCCCACGAGCTCAGTGTTGTGTCATGGATGAATTCCTCTGCAGAGCCTATGCCGCCGGAGCGTGTGCTGGCTGCTTAGGTAATTCCTTGGCACACCTAATGCTTGCCCTCTCCACGTCCCTTCAAGGGACTAGTGGTGCGACAGCAGCAATAGGCTTTAACGATGCAGCGCTTCAGGCCTTTGCACTAATGACGAGGGAGCTTGGGCATGTGATGTCCTCCTTGGTCCAGGCTCGCAGACAGGTCTGGTTGGCGCAGTCAGCATTGACTGAGCCATGCCGTAGAACCCTCCATAATGTCCCAGTGGTGCCGGGGGAGTTGTTCGGGTTGGCTGCCTTGGAAGCACTAAAACGGACTGTCCAGGCACAACAGAGAAGGCAGCAATTTTCAAGCCTTAGCAGGGCAATGCTCCCTCCACCTCCTCGGCATCCAAGGTGCCCGTCGGCTGACTCCAGCATGCAGCCGCCGCCTGGGGGTCATAACCGGCCGGGTGGTCCTTACCCTCATGCGGTTCAGCAAAGGCCCAGCAGGAGCTTTCGTGGGTTGGTCCACCGACCAGCTGGGCAGGCTGGACCAGGGACTCTGGATGCCGCCGGTGATGCCATCAGGCTGACCGTCGGATATTTCTCCCACCAGCAGCTCAGCTATTGGGCTGCTCACGCCGTGGACCCATGGGTGGTTGCCACTCTGACCCATGGTTACCGGCTACAGTTCCGACGGCGGCCTCATATCTCATGCCGGGTCAAGATGACTGTAATCGCCGACCCGGTGAAAGCTCGAGCACTAGACCAGGAACTTTCCGCCCTCCTGGCCAAGGGCGCAATAGAGGCAGTGGACCCTCTGCAACAACCCAGGGGCTATTACTCGACTTACTTCCTCGTGCAAAAGAGGACGGGCGGGATTCGTCCCATTTTAGACCTGAGGGGACTCAACCAGTACCTTAGGGAACTGCCCTTCCACATGCTCACAACAGCAGAAGTCCTTCAAGCTGTCATGAGGGAAGAATGGTTCACATCTGTAGACCTGAAGGATGCATATTTTCATGTGCCTATTGCGGCAGAACATTGCCGCTTTCTCAGGTTTGCCTATCGGGGTTACCACTGGCAGTTCCGGGTACTTCCATTTGGGCTCTCTCTCTCCCCAAGGGTGTTCACTCGGTGCGTGAAGGCAGCCCTCTCTCCTCTGCAGGCCTGCGGAGTGAAGATTCTGCCGTACTTAGACGATTGGCTTCTCTGCGCCCCATCTCAGGCCTGTGTCTTTCATGACACAAACCGCCTGCTCGCTCATATGTCCCAGTTGGGCCTCAATGTCAACCTGGAGAAGAGCTGCCTGGGAGGTCCCTTCCCAGACGACCCCCTTTCTTGGGGTGGTTCTGGATTCATCTTCCATGAGAGCTCGCCCATCCGCTCAAAGGGTGGCCGGCATACTCTAGCTGGTCAATCGGTTCAGGCTGGGCAGGCAGCTCCCCTATGTTGCCTTCCTGCAACTACTCGGCAAGCTGATGTCAGTCACTTGGGTGGTGCCCTTAGGCCTGCTGTCACTTCGCCCCTTGCAGAGGTGGCTCAACAGCTTTCGCCTGGATGCCAGGCTGCACAGGCATCGCAAGCTCGCAGTGACGTGGTCATGTCTTCATGCCTTGACTCCATGGAGGGACAAAGATTATTTGTCCAGGGGTGTCCCCATGGGAGTGGTAGTGTGTCGCAGGGAAGTGGTCACGACAGATGCCAGCTCCATGGGATGGGGGGCTGTGTGGCAACGCAGAGCGGTTCAGGGCCGCTGGGGTCAAAGGGACCACTCCAAGCATATAAATGTGCTGGAGCTGCGTGCAGTGCACTTGGCACTCAGGCACTTCCTGCCTCACCTGGAAGGGAGGCATGTTCTTGTTCGGTCAGACAACACCTCTGTTGTCTACCACATCAACCATCGAGGGGGCACCAGGTCAGCACAACTTATGAGAGTGTCCAGAGAGCTCCTGGAACGATCCTCTCCTCGCCTGTCCACCTTGTGGGCAGCGTACTTACCAGGGAGACACAATCAGGTTGCAGATTTTCTCTCCCGCCAAGAGTCCCCTCTGGGAGAGTGGTCCCTCCACAGCGACATAGTGCTGATGATCTGGGACCGTTTTGGTCAAGCAGAGATAGACCTGTTTGCGACGGAAGAGTCGACTCAGTGTCCCCTATGGTACTCTCTTACGGGGGCGTCAGGTGCGCTGGGCCAGGACGCATTGGCTCATCCTTGGCCAAGAGTCCTTCTATATGCCTTTCCACCCCTTTCTCTAATTTGGCCAACCCTTCAGAGAGTCCTCGAGGAGGGCCACAGGATGCTGCTGGTGGCTCCGTATTGGCCAGCGCGACCATGGTTCCCACTGCTACGAAGTCTATGTCAGGGCGTCCCATGGTGTCTTCCAACCAGAAGGGACTTGCTGTCTCAGTTGGGGGGACTGATATGGCACCCCAATCCTCAACGTCTTCGGCTGTGGGTGTGGCCACTGCAAGGCTAGGACAGCAGCTGACTGGAGTTTCGAGCCCCGTCAGACGCACCATCCTGGGCGCCAGGGCACCCTCTACTCGTCAGCAGTACGAAAACAGGTGGCGCCTGTTTTCCCAATGGTGTTCTGATCACAAGGATCCAGTCTCCTGTACAGTACCCACCATTCTGGAGTTTCTCCAGTCTCTACTTGGTAAGGGTCGCTGTCCTTCGACGCTTAAAGTTTATGTAGCGGCAATATCATCTAATCACGCTGGCATTGATGGCTGTACGGTAGGGAGCCATAATCTAGTCTCTCTTTTTCTGCGTGGTGCCCGTAAGTCACACCCGCCGACAGCTCCACGAGCACCAGGTTGGGACCTGCCCTTGGTTCTCGAAGCTCTGTGCCGTCCTCCTTTCGAGCCTCTGACGCAGGCGGACCTCAAGTGGCTTTCATGCAAGACGGCTTTTTTGTTGGCTACTGCCTCAGCAAAGAGGGTCAGTGAGGTGGGTGTTTAGGATTCCTTGTGACATCGTTGGTATTAGTCATTCAGTGCTTTCAGCACTGCCCTCTGGCGGTCAGGAGGGATGAAATAGAATGAAAGTTACGTATGTAACTACGGTTCTATGAATCCCGGATGACCTCCAGAGCTTCTCTGTCACTCGGAATCCTTGCGTTCCGCGAGAAGATTCTGTAGGAGCACAGCAGCGGATGACGTCGGGCTATATAGCCTCTGATTGGTCATCCGTGTCACACCTGTGACTCCGTTGGCATTATTACTCGAACAGCGCATGCGCGAAGGGAACATTCAGTGCTTTCAGCACCGCCCTCTGGCAGTCATCCGGGATTCATAGAACCGTAGTTACATACGTAACTTTCGTTTCTTTTTCAGAAATAGATCCTGTCTAACTCTGAATGCTAGGAAACACCTTGTAACTGTGACTTTCCTTCCCTCCATTAATTACGATGACATTATTTACATAAACACTCCTACAAGCACCTGCAGATTTTCGATGCCGTATATCATGGTGCTCTAATATTTATAACTGGCTGTAACTATTGTACCCATCACTGCACCCTGTATTCACTGGTTAACTGGACATCTTTAACTTCACGCAGACTCTCCCACTAGTACGTTTTCATCTTTAAATCACTTGTTGGTCTGCTGCCTTCATACATCTCCTACATGTCTCTGCGTGAGTGCAGCTACAGCGTGCACTCTCAGGACATCATTACATGCAGTGTTCCCTCAGTGAGGACTGAACTAGGCAAAAGGGCCTTCTCCTACTCTGCTCCTGTTTCCTGGAATATCTTGCAAAAAGACCTGAAGCTCTTGACCTTGACCTCTAAAGCCCCCAGTATACTCCCGCGTACGTCCGTGTGCGGAGGTACGCGCGTACGTCCGCGGAGGTACGCACATACCCCCGCATGTCATGTCCGTGGAAAGCTCAATTTTTACGACAGCGGTGTCGCACAATAAACTGCCCGGCGACGGACTGTTTTGTACGCGACACCAATGTATTAAATTCCCCTTCTTCATCCCTGATCTGGCCTTTTCTTTTGTTTTTTGCCAAGAGGAAAGCGGTCTCTTCCTCCTCCGTTGATGCCATGACTGAAATGGTGAGAAATGAAGGAATTTGTCATGAGCGAATTAAAATCATGTCCAGCGTGGCTGTGGGAGGGTCTGGAGATTTCCTGTTGGGCTGATCTGATGTGTGGGCTGCAGGGCCAGCGTTCCTCGTTTTATTTTTTTTAGATCTTTTTATTAACAACATATAAACACAGAACACCGCTGTGGCTGGGGCTGCCAGCTCTCGTTTTTTTTGTTTTTCTCGACCTGTCAATCAATCCAGCAGGCGTGTCAGCAAATGACCGATCAGCGACCTCAATTTGTTCCGAAGGTTAACGCCCCTTGTCTGCAAAGCTGCTCTGCAGCCGCTCAGGGTGTACGCTCGAGTATGAAGTCTCAACTCTCCGCGTCCATATGCGCGTACCTTCTCTCTTGTGGCCGTTTATTTTTTTATTTTTTTTACACAAACATTGTGAACTGAGCTGCTATCAGCAGCTGTTTTTTTCCCCCATCTCATCCAACAAGCTTTTTTAATTCAAAAGGAACGAGTGGGGTTTGAAGCTGCTCTGTTAACGAGCTTAAATCACGAGATGAATCTCACTCCCCTCTCTGCTGATGGTCATTAGGATTTGTGTTCGCCTGGCTCACCAACAGATGTTTTGGTCACTAGCAGGAAGGAGTGATTTAAGGTCTTAAAAAGTTATTCGTGTTAACGGAGCAACTTTAAAGCTTGGAACAAAAACAATTTCTTTAGAACTGAAAAAGCTCCTTAGATGAGAAGCGAAATATCTTCAACTACAGAAAGAGTTGTTTCGTTTTTAAACCCCTCAAGATAAAGTTGTTACATACGGTCCAGAATCTGAGAAAACAACAACGATAAAGGCAGATTATCGCAGATTAGTACGGATGTACGTGGGGTATACTGGGGGCTTAAGTGGTTTCGAACATCTGTTAAGTTACTGGGCATAAACCAATGCAGACATGTTCCTTTTAGTTTTCCACTTTGCCTAATAATCTAGCTGTTTTTTTTTTTTGTTTTTTTTTTTTGCTACTTTTTCCTTTTGACTGTCCTTTAGGTTGCCATTTTATTTTAATTTGTAAAAAAAAAAAAATAATAATTTGTATGCCTCTTTTATGATTGTCTATTGTTGTTGTCCACTGTTGTCATCACTCTTTGTTAAAGAAATCAGGTCTCTTGTAAATCAGTCCCCGAGGCTCAATGTGATTAACCTGTAAAGGTTGAATGAAAAAAAAAAGTAGCTTTATTAATACACCGACTCCACTGACCTGGTAGCGAACAAATAAACTCATAGACTTCCCCCACGTTCCACTTGGTGGGGTCATTGGGCAGGAAGCGTTCACAGATCGACGGTGCGTCTCTTCCAGTAGAGCCCTCCTGGTCCGAGGATCTGCTTGGCTGCCGAAGGACGGGGGCTTGGGCTGGAGCTGGAGCAAGAGGTCCTGAGCTGGCTGCTGACAGAGGGGAAGGTGGCTCTTCATAGCTGGACATGTCCGAACATGGACTGGACTCCTCTTGACTGGGCTGTGAGGCATGTGGTGAAGATACAGAACCGCCCTGAGTCTGCTGTGGAGAGGGGGAAAGTTTCTGAGGAAAGAAAAAATAAATAAAAATCAGGAAAGAAACCAAAAGGCTCAACAGTAATATATTGTGAAAAGATCACTGGACCAGATGATCAAAAATAAAGATTTTCATATCAGATATGATACAACATATCTGGCCATGTGTGCATCATCTGTCATACCTTATAATCATACTGTTTAAAGTTATTTTTATATATCAGTGGTGTTAATTTACTGACGGTGAGAATAGATAAAATATTTGCCTGACAAATCATAAGCACCAAAGCAATGCTGCATTCCTATTTGAAACGGTTTTCTTAGCAAACAGAGTTGTAGTCACCACCAGTCAAAGAAAATGGGTTATTTCCTTTAAAACAGGTGGGAACATTTCTAAAAATCCATTTTTTATTGGTCTTAAGTAATATTCAAATTTTCTGAGATACTAAATTTGGGTTTTTTGTTAGCTGTCAGTTGTAATCATCAACATTAAAAGGAATAAACATTTGAAACATATCAGTTTGTGTGTAATAAATTAATATAATATACAAGTTTCTCTTTTTGAATGGAATTACTGAAATAAATCAATTTTTTATGATGTTCTAATTTTATGACCAGCACCTGTATAAACTACACATGACAAAACTTATTTCAAACATGAAATCAAAAATTTTTTTGAGACCAAAAAACCCATCTTTGTGTATTATTGCTAACTTACTTTTTTAATGTACCAGTACATTCTTACATTTTTTAAATCTATTTGTCTTTAAGTTCAATTATAGAACGTCACAGTAAGATAAACCCATTTCTTTATGACTTCTGTATAATTAGTGAAATGGACAGAAAGTCGTGATCAATGTCTTCCCATTCGTACTAAATCAGAGTGCTTAATGACCCTCAATTACAGAGAAAGACAGGTAAGACACAAATCAACCTTCATTAAAAAACACGAGGTGGAAAAAGACCAAAGTAAAAAAAAAATGTGTTGAGGAAGCAGTTAATAAATGAGTGGTAAAGTGTTTCACAACAGCAAAGAACTGTCCACGTGTGTCTGTACCTGCTTCTTAGCCTCGATACTAGGGCGGCCCTGTGGTCTTCGACGCCAGCGATTTGTTGCTTTGTTCCTCTCTGGATGAAAAAGTCCAACTCGCTTTGTGCAGCCCACATTGTACCTGTTCAGAAGAGATCCTCACGTTTTAGATTTCCTTTTCTTGTACAGTTATGTAAAAGAGGTGTACAGTAAACACTCAGGTGACTTGCCTTTTTGCACAAACCACTGAGCAGAACCTTTTTGAGCCCTTAAATGTGTACGCAAAGTCCACCCAGCCGCAGTATTCACACGTCAGCTTGGGCTCTTCTTTCTCTGAAAGACCGCAGCAGAAACATGAGGCTCTGAATAACAGCAAGTCTTTTGATCTAAACCATTCACTTCTGAAAAATGACGCTGGAATTAACATACAAGTTGCGTGAACATCTACAAAGAAATAATCTGTTTGAAGAGTTTCAGTCAGGGTTTAGAGCTTATCATAGCGCAGAAACAGCACTAGTAAAAGTCACTAATGATATTCTCATGGCCTCAGACAACGGACTTGTGTCTATACTGGTCCTGTTAAACCCCAGTGCTGCATTTGACACAGTTGATCACAATATTTTACTACAGAGGCTTGAATATGATAATGGGATTACAGGAACAGCTCTAAAGTGGTTTAAATCATATCTATCTGATAAGAGTCCAGTTTGTAAATGTAAATAATAAATCTTCTTCATACACCAAAGTTAGTCATGGAGTTCCTCAGGGCTCAGTGCTTGGGCCAATACTCTTTACTTTATATATGCTTCCATTAGGTAAAGTTATTAAACAGCATGGGATAAATTTTCATTGTTATGCTGATGACACACAATTATATGTCCATTAAACCCAATGAATCCAATCAGCTACTTAGACTACAAGCATGTCTTAAAGACATAAAAACCTGGATGACCCTTAATTTTCTCCTGCTGAACACAGACAAGACTGAGGTTTTGGTTTTTGGATCTGAGCACCTTAGGAATTAATTTTTCAGACTTTCTCCCTCCTTAGATGGCATTAATCTGTCCTCCAGCTCTAATGGTAAAAATCTTGGTGTTATTTTTGATCAGGACATGTCTTTTATCCCCCACATTAAAAACGTTACTAGAACTGCCTTCTTCCACATGTGTAATATCACTAAAATTAGAAACATCTTGTATAAAAATGATGCAGAAAAACTGATCCATGCATTTGTCACGTCTAGACTGGACTATTGCAATGGTTTATTATCTGGATGTCCAAATACGTCTTTAAAACGTCTTCAGTTGATCCAAAATGCTGCTGCCAGAGTCTTAACTGGAGTTAGTAGGAGATATCATATTTCTCCAGTTTTAGCTTCTCTCCATTGGCTCCCTGTCAAATCCAGAATAGAATTCAAAATCTTACTTCTAACCTACAAACCGGATTCCATAAAAGTTGGGACACTAAACAAATTGTGAATAAAAACTGAATGCAATGATGTGGAGATGGCAAATGTCAATATTTTATTTGTAATATAACATAGATGACAGATCAAAAGTTTAATCTGAGTAAACGTAACATTTTAAAGGAAAAATATATTGATTCAAAATTGCAGTATCAACAAATCCCAAAAAAGTTGGGACAAGTAGCAATAAGTGGCTGGAAAAAGGAAATTGAGCATATAACGAACAGCTGGAAGACCAATTAACACTAATTAGGTCAATTGACAACATGATTGGTTATAAAAAGAGCTTCTCAGAGTGTCAGTGTCTCTCAGAAGCCAAGATGGTAAGAGTATCACCAATTCCACCATTGTTGCGCAGAAAGATAGTGCAGCAATACTAGAATGGTGTTACCCAGCGTAAAATAGCAAAGACTTTTAAGTTATCATCATCAACCGCGCATAACATCATCAAAAGATTCAGAGAATCTGGAACAATCGCTGTGCATAAGGGTCAAGGCCGTAAAACTCTACTGGATGCTCTTAATCTCCGGGCCCTTAAACGTCACTGCACCTCAAACAGGAATGCCACTGTCAAGGAGATAACAGAATGGGCTCACAAATACTTCCAGAAAGCACTGTCAGTGAACACAATCCACCGTGCCATCCGCCGTTGCCAGCTGAAACTCTACAGAGCAAAGAGGAAGCCATTTCTAAGCAAGCTCCACAAGCTCAGACATTTGCACTGGGCCAGGGGTCATTTAAAATGGAGTGTGGCAAAATGGAAGACTGTTCTGTGGTCAAATGAGTCACGATTTGAAGTTCTTTATGGAACACTGGGACACCATGTCATCCCGACCAGAGAAGACAAGGATAACCCAAGTTGTTATCAACGCTCCGTTAAGAAGCCTGCATCACTGATGGTATGGGGTTGCATGAGCGCTTGTGGCATGGACAGCTTGCATGTCTGGAAAGGCACCATTAGTGCAGCGAAATATGTTCAGGTTCTAGAACAACATATGCTCCCATCTAGACGTCATCTCTTTCAGGGAAGACCCTGCATTTTTCAACACGATAATGCCAAACCACATTCTGCAGCAATCACAACATCATGGCTACGTAGGAGAAGGATCTGGGTACTGAAATGGCCAGCCTGCAGTCCAGATCTTTCACCTATAGAGAACATTTGGCGCATCCTAAAGAGGAAGGTGTGAAAAAGAAGGACCAAGACGATTGAACAGTTAGAGGCCTGTATTAGACATGAATGGGAGAGCATTCCTATTTCTAAACTTGAGAAACTGGTCTCCTCTGTCCCCAGACGTCTGTTGAGTGTTGTAAGAAGAAGGGGGGATGCCACACAGTGGTAAAAATTGACTTGTCCCAACTTTTTTGGGATTTGTTGACGCCATGAAATTTAGAAACAACAGACTTTTCCCTTAAAATTATATATTCTCTCAGTTTAAACTTTGATCTGTGATTTGTGTTCTATTCTGAATAAAATATTAGATGTTGGCACCTCCACATCATTGCATTCAGTTTTTATTCACAGTTTGTTTAGTGTCCCAACTTTTTTGGGAATCCGGTTTGTACAAAGCTCTCAACAACCTGGCTCCATCTTGTATTACAGATCTTATTGTTCCATATTTTCCTAACATAGCACTTCGCTCTCAGACTGCAGGTTTACTTGTGGTTCCTAGAATTTACAAAAACAGAATGGGAGGCAGATCTTTCAGTTATCAGGCTCCTCTCTTGTGGAACCAACTTCCAATCTCTGTCCATGAGGCTGACACATTATCCAGTTTTAAAACTAGGCTTAAGACTTTCCTGTGTGCTAAATCCTATAGTTAGGGTCGGCTTGGGTTTCCTGAGCTGTCCCTTAGTTATGCTGTTATAGGCTTAGACTGCTGGAGGACAAACTGACCACAATTTTCACTCTGCTACTGTCTTTACTTACTCTGCTCAACCTGTTTTGTATTTGTAATTATTTTTTCTATCCATAACATGTGTTGTTTTTTTTGTCTTTCAGATACACCTGGACCTATACCTGGACCTACCATTCTGTGTTCGTTTGTCTCTCCTTTCTGTCCTCTAAACCAGCTGGTCAAAACAGATGGCCGCTTGTCCTGAGCCTGGTTCTGCTGGAGGTTTCTTCCTTTTAAAAGGGAGTTTTTCCTTTCCACTGTTGCCACTGTGCTTGCTCAGGATGGGAGACTGCAATGAAGCCAAGATTCAACTTGTCTGCTATCGGATTCCTTAGATAGAGAACTTTACTAATTGGCTTTTATGTATGTGAATGTTCCTGTAAAGTGCCCTGAGACAACTTTGTTGTGATTTGGCGCTATATAAATAAACTGAATTGAATTGAATTGAAATACTAAATAAAACACTAAGATGAAATTATAAGCCTAATTAGCATACCAAAAGTGCATTTTATAGGATTTTAGTAGGGGACGTCTTTCTGAATATTTGGTCTCAATTTCTTTTTAAGTTCTAAAATATAAATTAAAGGGATTAAACCTGACCTACCCCGCCCCTCGCACAGTGATTGCTGGACATGGGCACCAGCGACCCCCGTGACCCAAAATGGAATAAGCGGGTAAAGATAATGGATGGATGGATGGATAAACCTGACCTAAGGAAAAACTGACATTAAAGTTGATATAAAATTTGGCAAGAATAACTTTGAAATGCTTGATTTGTGTACAAATTTCAGAGATAAACAATGCTAATCACGTTAGCTTTTCTATAGCATTTTCAATGTTACTTTGGCAAGTGTTGTCAGAAGCCTGATAAATAGGATTTTTTTTTTTTTTTTACAAATGTTATGTTATTGTGCTCTCTTTATTAGACATGAAAAAGTTCATTTATGTAAAATAAGCTACAGGTATTAAAGTTTCAAGATAATCAAAACAATAAAAAATTGTTTCATTGTCACATACAGTGAGGAAAATAAGTATTTGAACACCCTGCGACTTTCCAAGTTCTCCTACTTAGAAATCATGGTGGGGTCTGAAATTTTCATCTTAGGTCAAGTCTATTGTGAGAGATATAATCTTAAAAAAAAAAATCCGTAAATCACAATGTATGATTGTTTTAATAATTTATTTGTGTGTTACTGCTGCAAATATGTATTTGAACAGTAGCCTTTGTTTGCAATTACAGAGGTCAAACGTTTCCTGTTGTTTTTCACCAGGTTTGCACGCACTGCAGCAGGGATTTTGGCCCATTCCTCCACACACACATCTTCTCTAGATCAGCCAGGTTTCTGGGCTGTCGCTGAGAAACACGGAGTTTGAGCTCCTTCCAAAGATTTTCTATAGGGTTTAGGTCTGGAGACTGGTTAGGCCACTCCAGAACCTTGATAAGCTTCTTACGGAGCCACTCCTTGGTTATCATGGCTGTGTGCTTCAGGTCATTGTCATGCTGGAAGACGCAGCCACGACCCATCTTCAATGCTCTAACTGAGGTGAGTGGAATTAAGACCAAAAAGTTCTATTTTGATCTTATCTTACCACATAACTTTCTCCCATGACTCCTCTGGATCATCCAAATGGTCATGGGCAAACTTAAGACGGGCCTGGACGTGTGCCGATTTAAGCAGGGGAACCTTCCGTGCCATGCATGATTTTAAACTATGACGTCTTGGTGTATTACCCACAGTAACCATGGAAACAGTGGTGCCAGCTCTCGTCAGGTCATTGACCAGCTCCTCCTGTGTAGTTCTGGGCTGATTCCTCACCTTTCTTAGGATCACTGATATGCCACAAGGTGAGATCTTGCATGGAGCCCCAGTATGAGGGAGATTGACGGTCATGTTTAGCTTCTTCCATTTTCTAATAATTGCTCCAACAGTTGATCTTTTTTTCACCAAGCTGCTTGGCAATTGCCCCGTAACCCTTTCCAGCCTTGTGGAGATCTACAATTTTGTTTCTGGTGTCTTTGGACAGCTCTTTGGTCTTAGCCATGTTAGTAGTTAGAGTCTTACTGATTGTGTGGGGTGGACAGGTGTCTTTATGCAGCCAACAACCTCAAACAGGTGCTTCTAATTTAGAATAATAAGTGGAGTGGAGGTGGACGTTATAGAGGAGGACTTACAGGTCTTTGAGGGCCAGAATTGTTGCTGATTGGCAGGTGTTCCAATACTTATTTGCAGCCGTAACATACAAATAAATTATTAAAAAAATCATACATTGTGATTTCCGGATTTTTTATTTTTATTTTTTAGATTACGTCTCTCACAGTGGGCATGCACCTAAGATGAAAATTTCTGACTCCTCCATGATTTTTAAGTGGGAGAACTTGCAAAGTCGCAGGGTGTTCAAATACTTATTTTCCTCACTGTAGCAACCCTCTGAGGTGAATAGACGTTTATGGCGCCTAAAGATTCTCATCCTAACCTATCGGCATGATGAGGTTGATTCATCACAACAGTCCAACATCACACACTTCCTATACTTCTCGTGTGTAATTTTAAAAAAAGGCTTGAACAGGGAGCAGAATAATCCACTGCCCTAACACAAATAAACATACACACAGTATTAGACTTCAATCTGTTTGGTCTCACCTGTTTGGTTCATGTCTTCAGGCTCAGAGTCTGTGTTTGCTGCGTTACTGAGTGGCGTTTTGTCAGGGTCCGAAGAGAGCTGATGATCCAGCTTCTTCAGGATGTCCATGTTAATGGGCAGACGCTCCACCTGGGGAGAGAACTAAAATATTTACGGCACCACATTCCTCATGAATTAAAGTCAGAGTAGTATTGTGATTATTTTGTCAAAGAAAATTACAACAAAAAAGCTGTCTGAAACTCCTTAAATACAAACATTCAGAGCAGCAGTATTTACTTCGATAAGATAAAAATAATAAAACAAAAAAGATGTTCTAATTTTACATGTCAAACTTTACAAACAAAATGTTATTAGAAGAGAAGAAAATATCTACTAAGCACTGACAATTTTTTTTCTAAATTTTGAAAGGTTTACATTAGAAGATGCTTTGGTAAATAAATGCATGCGGTGTACAGTAGTTTTCCATGTGTGATTGAAGCATTTACATCAACTGTCCAGAAGGAGGCATACAAAATGTCTGTGTCATTGTTTTGTCCAGAGTTTAGACACTTTGAAACTAATGAAAAGACTGATGAGTGCTAACCCCAGGCCTGAGACAGATATGCATCATTTAAGGGAGAAGGACTCTTCACATCTCCACAGGAAATAAATGTGCTGCTTGTTAGATGCATTTACCTCCACCCATCTGTATTTTGTCACAAACAGACTCATGTCCCATAATTAACGAGTGATTTAAAGAGACTCTGTGAGTTGTCACTACAAGCAGCAGCAGAGGGTTTGTGTTTGCCTGCTGACAGCTCCCTGCAGGCATGTACACTGAAGAGCATGTGGCGTCTCTGGGTTGTTTATTGCGTTTCAGTGCCAGTACAACCTGAGGTAAGGCACTTACACACACAGGAAACGGCTCCGCTCCCTCCTGGATGACGAAGCCTTCGATGACATGCGTGAGGACCTGGGGCTTGACTATGGCCTGCGGCGGTTTGTTCTCTCCGTTTTGTGGCGTGCTGCCCGTCACGACAGGCGCCTCACTCTCATTACCTGAGGTCATGGCTGGAGATGAGGTCTCTGTCACTGTGCTGGGCCTTTTGATTGAACCCCCTCCTGAAAAGGAAATACCATAAGCTTAAGATAAAACAGCTAAATATACTAACAAGTACAACCATTAAACGTGGATTAAAGCCTTTTTAAGTTTCCCAAGATAATTTGGCTACGGCAACAAGAACTGTCGCAATAAACAACAAATCAATTATGGTAATTGCATGATAAATTAAAATTATCAATCTCATTTTCATTTATCAGCTTTATCCTTTCTTTGCGTCTCTCTTTCTACTGAAGACACTGGATGACAAAAAGATCAACTCTGTGGCTCTTCGCTGACCCATCCCTTTCTCTTTTCTCTTTAAAATCCATTTTAACTGTCCAAAATTGTGTTTTTGGATCGTTAAAAGTAATTAAGCTGAGAAGCTAAGCTACGAGCTGAGCTAAGCTAACAGGCAGACCTCGGGGGGGGGCCCTCCGTCATGTCGAAGCTCCAAAATTCACAGTTGAAACCTGTGCCTTCGTCTAAAAAGTTGTTTTTCTCTGCAAAAAGAAGCTGAGAACTAGGAATGCGCGATATATACGGTACACGGTAGAAACGATAGAAATTTAGCCTACGATAGAGATCTGTCTTCTACCGGCTAACCGCAGTAATGCTGTGTCTGAAGTAAAATCAGAGTTGTCAGTTTAATCATTACTTTTTTTTAGTTGAAAACTGTGCATAAGTGGTGTTCAAATGTAAAATCAGAGCTGTCAGATTTAATCGTTACTTTTTTGGAGCTGAAAACTGTACGCAAGTGGCGTTAAAGTCTTTTCTTCGAGAGCTAAGTAGCGAAGCTACAAACTAACTACAGCCGGCTTGCCGTAGTGTTGCTGTATTCTGACGCATGTGCAAAACGCTGTGTTCTGTTGAAAGTTTTTTTTTTTTTTATCCTCCATCGAAAGTTAAAGTAAGCGTTGGTCAGCTTTAGAGAAACCTGCTCTCTGATCTGTGAAAAGAACGCTGTGTTGTGTGATTTTACTGCGAGACCTTCTGGTCAAAGACACAGTTATTTTGTGTCAGCTCTCCATTAAAGCAGAAGGGGTCGCCAACTAGAGGTTTGGAGGGTGAAGTGTTTCAGTGTAAAATGCTGCTCTGTTGCTGTTCATTTCTTAAGTAAGACTGGAAACTGTTAACAACATATTATTTTGTTTAAAACGTATGGCTAAAACTACATTTTATATATTTTGCACTGTTTTGCACTACAAGCAAGAAGCCTAATACTTGATTTGTTTATTATTTAAAAACTCTGGACCTAGTAGTGGAATTTTCTTAATTCAAAATATATGATAGCAAAAGGACACCCTATGCTTTTTGAAAAATTCCTATCAAGTTATATACCCAAAACATATCGCGATATATATCGTTATCGCCACCCATCGCAAAACATATCGTGATATGAATTTTATGCCATATTGCACATTCCTACTGAGAACTTGTTTACTGATGTTTTATTAAAAGCTTTGTGTGAAAAATGCTATGCTAAAGAGCTCAAACCACACAGAGCATCTGCCATTTAGAGAACTGAAGAAAGACAGCCCATGTCACGTCAAGGGGCCTCCCTCCTATTTTTCTTAAAGAGACACGCTGCTCGCTCCATCACTATCCATCCTTTGGTTCAAACAGTCTTATACTGCCACCCAGTTGTCAAAAAAGGTACTACACACAAAACTTAAACATTTCTTCTTAAATTTCACAATAATTAAATTATTTTCAAATTTCAAACATTATCGTTTATCACAATAATTTTTGAGACAATTAATCGCCCAGCAAAATTTGTTATCGTGACAGGCCTAGTGGCAACCATCCATTCTGAAACTAATTGATTCCAAATGTTAATGAGTTGTAGATGTTTGTCCAGGAATTACTTTCTGAAAGTTTCATTAAAATCCATCAAGTGATTCAAGACGGATTTAGCCAGTGATTCACATACAAAAAAACAAAACAATTATCGCTTCACCATTGTTGGCCAAACATAAAAAAAGGCACAAACAAGCTTGTTGGAGATTAAGGAAAAAAACAATTGTGATGCTTACAAATTTTATTAATGGCCAACTGATGAGCTGTGTTTTGAACAAATCAAGGACATTGTATAAGCACCTCAAATGTTTCAAGTAAATAATGTTCTTTCAACAACAAGTTCATCCATCCATCCATCCATCCATCCATCATCTTTCATCGTTTCATCATTATCTTTTACTCGCTTCTTCGGTTTTGGGTCACGGGGGTCGCTGGTGCCCATGTCCAGCAATCACTATGAGAGGGGCGGGGTACACCCAGGATGGTTCGCAAGTCCATCACAGGGCACAAGTTCAATTTCAAGCAAAACACTTCAGTTTCTAATAATGTTTGAATTACTTTGTCTAAAAGTTTAATTTACAAACATATATGTTTCTGATATTGTTTAAATATGCAAAGGCTTACCAAAATAAATAGTTGTGATCCTGAAATCACCCCAAACATTGGAGAAATCACCCAAATGTCTGTTTTTATATCCTATACTTTATAATAATCTGTAATATACCTGTACAAATCCTGGTACTTGTATATCAGTTAGTGTTTATTGTGTACATCCATGATTTAAGTGTCACAAAAAATAAAACCCAAATAAAACCAGTTATATCCACCATGCTGCTGATTTAAAAATCAGACAAAGAGTGAACATTTTATTTAAACGGTCAAATGTCGGTCAGTGATAAACAATATACTCAGATCGCTCTCATATCCGATCCATCATATGCTGATCGGTAAAGGCAGACACAAGTGAAAAGAAAGTTGCTGAATAAAAAGGGTTTCTTACCAGGGTGCAGTTCAGACAACAAATGTGCAGTTTGTTTGTTGCCTTGTTCTAATGATCCGACAGAGAAACACACACATCTGCAGCTGAGCCTGAACTGCAGCGCTGCTTCACACTAGCTGATAAAAGCTTTAAAAAAAAAAAAAAAGAAAATAAGGTCCACGTCGGTTTTTCCTCCCACAGCAGCCAGTGCTAGCAGCTCTGAGCCTCCTCCAGAGCCGCACGTTTCTACCGGGACACAGAGCCGGACAGCACGGAGCCTCCAGCTCCGGCTGAAAATATGCTTTATTTATTTTATTTATTAATTTGTTTATGGACAACTGTGAAAGCTTCATAGAGATAATGTATCAAAGCTCCGGTTAAACAGAAACACACGCGGCTGTTTTCAGAGTCAGAGAGTCAGCAGGGACGTAAACAGGATTAGAGACGTCCTGGTGTCCCTGCCCCAACTCCCTTCAAACATCTATAAATTATCAGCATTTTTTTCTTCTTCTTCTTCTTCTTGTGAGAGGAGGAGGTGTCAAGTCAAGTTAAGTCATATTCATTTATAGAGCACAATTTAAAACAGAGAGACTGTTATCAAAGTGCTTAACACTAAGGATAACACTGAGAAATAAAAAGCAGTAAGAATATACCTTAAAAAATTAAAACAACAGCATTAAAATGAAGACATGGAACAAGATATACTAAATCAACTCACACAGTATGAAACGCCAGAGCGAACAGATATGTTTTTAGCAGGGATTTGAACACAGGAAGGGAGGTGGCATGCCTAATGTTGGGGGGTAGGTTGTTCCACAGTTTGGGACCCATGACTGAAAACGCCCGATCTCCTCGGAGCTTCAGTCGTGTTTTTGGAACAACCAAAAGCAGCTGATCGGATGATCTCAGAGCCCGAGAGGGAACATATGGTTCCAGTAGCTCAGAGAGGTAGATGGGTGCGAGGCCATTTAGGCACTTATAGGTCAGGAG